AACTTTATCATGAAAATGTTAAAAAAATGAATTATTCTCGAATACAGGCATTAGAAAATAATGACCAGACTGATAACGAAACTAGATCGTTCGGTCAAGTTAGTAATTTCATGGAGGATAGTATTAAAGTAAAGGTGCCACCGCGCTCCGGTAGTGTTATGTCGCGCAACAATTATGTAAATGCAGCAGATGTACCTGATAAATTCAGAGCTTTTCCAAGTTTTGATACAATTGAAAACAATCAACAAATATATGAAAATTATAAAAGTAATGAAAATTCACCGAAATTTAAAGAATACGAAAATAATATAAAATCAGATAAAACTAGGGAACGATATAATAGGAAAAAATCTGATAAAACTGGAAGAGAAGATAATAATAAAAAGTTAGACAAAACTAGAGAACAAGAATATAATAAAAACACTTATGAAAGGTACGAAGAAGAAGAAAAGGTACATTTTTATGAAACTGTAGCAGAAGAAAATAATATGTATGCTGATGAAATAAACGTGTATCAGAACATTGAAGGTATGGATAAATTTGGTGAAAATCCTGTATACAAAAAAAATTATGAAAAATACAACAATTCGAATGAAAGAAAACAATACCAAAAAACTAAAGAAGAGATTGAAAGTGAAAATGTATATCAATTAGATGATGATCAATTAGAAGCTGAGTCAGAGTGCAGTTGTACACAATCTTCAGAAGTGGAAGATTCCTTTTCTGCTAGTTATAGTGAAACGGAATTGCTTGAAAAAAATTTAAAAAATGAAAATATATGGGAATCATGTTCGTGCAGTGCAGCTACAGAGGAAATAAGCGATAATTCATTTTGTAGTTGCATGCGGGAGAATTACAATGACTATGTAATTCCAAATCAAAATGATTTCACTATAGGTTATTCCAAGAACAATACCATAAATAAAAATACTAAAAGAAACGATGATTTTGAACGAATATGTGCAGAATTTGTAAGAAGTCTTAATACCTGCAGATGTGATAACTTTATTGATTCACATAATTTATCTACGCCACCGGCTAGTAGTCAGAGTTCTAACGACACATCCGTAACATCCGGCTCTTGTACTTGTACCACCAACAAGGGTTCAGAAAAACGTTCTACTAGTAAAAGCAAAAAAACAGCAAAAAAAACGAATGCGTCGAGCAAAGTGAAATCAGAAAAAAAAACTAAGTCACGCTCGAATAGTAAAGGTAAAAAGGTTAAAAGTGCTACTTCGAAAAAAAAATCAAGTACAACTACAAAGGCTACTTGTAAGTGCGTAACCAATGATACAGAAACTAGTAATTATACTGGTGAGACAAACTATTCAAGTGCAGCAACCAAACCGATTTGTGGGTGCGGTAACAGTAATACACAAAGTGATTCTCGAATGGTTGAGAGAAGAAGTTCAAGAGATTCGTCAAAAGCAACTTGCAAGTGCGTACCTAGTGATACATATCATAATACTCCAATAGGTGGAACAAATGGTTTAAGTGGTGGATCAAAACCCACTTGTAAGTGCGTAAAAAATGATAAAAGTAACAATCGAATCAAAACTTCATCAAATAGTTTTAATGATATTAAATTAATGTGCTGTGAAATTTTAAATCATTTGAAGAGCCAAAGAGAGTCACAATCAAATGAGCAGAAAAAAAATAAGAATAGAAGTTGTTCATGTAAGGTTTCTAATGATACTGATTCTCAGTCATCACAAGAATCTTATGTTAATGCAACCAAAAAAGCAGAGTCTTGTAAATGTAAAATGCGTAACAACTTTGATGATATTCGTACAAATAACACGAAGTCATCAGATAAATATTCTAGTCTAAATAGAATGAAACCTCAAAACAATTCCTTTTCATCAGAAGTAAGCAAAAAGTCATGTATGTGCACAGTAATGGAAAAGAAAGCAAAACCGCCTACATATAACAAGGAACTTTCTGGTTCACGAAAATTTTATTCTAGGGGTTCTTTAAGTAGTGAGGAGGAAATTGTGTCAATCACGACCAAAAACAGTTCTAACCAGAGTGACCGTGAAGATCGGTATAAAGAAAAACCTACAGGTAATGGTAATTGTAAATGTAGGCAAATGTCTAATGAGAGAATGAAAATTAAACAAACAACTGAATGTAGCTGCAAACGTACATCCACTGATTTATCTGATAGTACAGCAAAATACTCATCTGCCCAATATAAGGGGCACGTTGGACAAAGAGCGGGAACTAGTAAGGAAACTTGCAAGTGTGTGCTTAAAATGAGTGATAGAGTACCAATTCAGACAAAAGTTAAAGCTAAAGAAATAGAAACATGTAATAGGGAAACATGCAAGTACCGGAATGTGCCCACAAGTTCTACAAGCAACGATCCAGCATATGGAAAGACAGATATATTGAACGAACAAATGGACAAAAAAGTTAAACAAAATGTAAAGAGTAAAGAGAATCAATTAAGTTCCGCTAATTCCATGAAAAAAACTAAAGAACCGTTACCGCAGTTTCAAGAAAAAGATACACAAACTGATCCAGTATACAAAAAGCAGGAAGTTTTAAATGAACAAATGGTTGATAAAGTTAAACAAAAAGGAAAAAGTGAAGAGGCTCAATTAAGCTCCGCTAAGTCCATGAAAAAATCTGAAAAACAGTTTCAAGAAAGAGATTCACAAACAGATCCAATATACAAAAAGCAAGAAGTTTTAAATGAACAAATGGATGATAAAGTTAACCAAAAAGGAAAAAGTGAAGAGGATCAATTAAGCTCCGCTAAGTCCATGAAAAAATCTGAAAAACAGTTTCAAGAAAAAGATACGCAAACAGAGCCAGTATACAAAAAGAAAGAAGTTTTAAATGAACAAATGGATGATAAAGTTAAACAAAAAGAAAAGAGTGAAAAAGATACACAAACGGAATGTGATGACAGTAGTTGCAAATTTCTTAAAGAAAAAAAAAATTCATTAAATGAATATTCTTGTGATGACAAGTCATGTGAAAAAAAAGCAACAAAAGTAGCGGTAGAAAATGATACAGTAATATCTGATGCCAAAAAAGGTGAACAAGTTTTACCAAGGGAAAATAAGAATAAAACTGAAAGTAAAGAAAAAATCGCTTCTCAGCCTCAAGGTTCTGTTAAAATGAATAATAAATCCGATACTCAGAAATCTAATAATAATAAAGAAGATCATTGCAATTGCTGTAAATGTAAAGAAAAGTTGAACGCAAAAAATGAAAAAGAAAATGCTGAAGATCCAGTTAATGTTTCCTACGGCTGGGTATCTTGGTTTGCTCCAGGTGACTATAATTACAGTAATTGGATGGTGGATGAAATGAAGAAAAAAAATTTAGATAACGATTCTGTTCAGAATATGTTGTCTACTAGAACACTAAATGATGACAGCCTAACCAACAACATGATGAAAACTGGTGATAATACTAAAGATTTATACAAGGATAATTCAAAAGACGAAATGAATACCTATAGCGCTCTTGAAAAATCAAATAAAATTCAATCAAATCGATTTGAAAGGAAACTTTCAGATTCCACTCAGGAACAATTAATAATAGATACAGACTTATACGACAATAAAATATCACACACTAACAATAATGAGAATATTGAGTATATCAGTTCAGTAAATTCAGATTCGAACAGAATATCTATCAGCACACAAACTGAAGAGTGGGTACAGGATGAAGAGGGTCGTTATAGTTATATACCGTATACTCCATATAGACGCAGGACATTAGCTGCAGATGAAGATGCAAATCGCCATGAAGGTGGACAATATGACAGAAACAGTGAAGACGACAACGAAAATGTCGAGTATGAATCAGCTAGACATAATATTATTCCTAACAAAAATGGTTCTAATAAAATAAAGCCACAATACCTAAGAAGTACAGATAATAATATAGCAAATGTGGTATCTGAAAAGAGTTTAGAATATAAATCAAAAAGCCATAAGAAGATTCAGAATGGAAAGAAAATTAATGAACCAATGCTTAAGAGTGTTGCTGCTCAATACAATTTGAATTCTAGTAATAATGAAAAGAGTTTCAGTGCTGATTTCATACAAAAGAAATCAGAAAAGATAAGGAAATATTTAATAAATTCAAAAAGAAGTGATAATGTGGCAACATGTTCATATTCACCCAAACAAAAAAATCAAAATTTAAATATTACTAGAAGTCGAAAATCTCAATTTGAAGGATGTACATATCCCAGGAAAAGAAGTCTTACCCGACCAAAGAAAGACGATCATTTCAAAGAAATTCCATTTAAATGTCCTATTAAACCTGCCAATGAAAGGTTAAATAGCCTTTCAAGGCAATGTCCGAAATTATATACTAGACGTGAAAGTGTAGTACGATCATCTGGTGTTCCATCAACTTGCCCAAATCAGTCTGATTCTGTAAAAGAAAATAATTTAAGACAAGCTGGTGGTAAAGGAAAAGAGTTTGTATGCAGTACAGAAAAAAATAATTTGAACTCAAAAAATGTTAATTCTAGTCACAGAATTGAACATTGTTATTTTCAAGAAACAAATTCCTCCAATTATGATTCAAAACCAACTACATCACGAGGAATTCGTCATAGAACACCAACGATTTATAAATTCAATCAAAAGAATAATACTTTTTATATAGATGATGATTTAAAACAAGATGAGGCTTATCCGACTTCAAGAGAATATTACAAATTTGCAAATTTTAGTTCAGAAATGAATACTACACCGACGATGCCAACTCTATCGATGCAGGAACGACAGGCGCATATTCGTAGATATAATAATTCAAATGAAAGAAATAATACCGAATACTCGCAACAATGTGGAAAACCTATGTATAATAATTATGATGCTGGTCATGCCCCGATGCCGCCAACTTATAAATCAAATTCAATCAATCAACAAATAAATATTCCATCAGCTGTTAACTTTAAGGATGGAGCAATGTCACAAAGGCAACCAAGTAGTGGTAGAGTAAGGTTTTAGTCTTGTTGAAAGAGTCCACAAAACATGCTTTGGTGTGGTAGAATCTCCCATCCATATGCTAAATACGCAAAATTTAATATTAAAATAATAATCAAACAATGATCAAACAATGGACAAACAAACCATAAGCCATTAGTGAACATTTTTAAAAAACAAAAATAGTTAGTAAAAATTATTTTGTTGTATTAAAAGAGTCTTAAATAAATTGTGCCAAAAATATATTAATATTTCAAAAAATTATTTTAACACTTATTTTTAACAAGTTTTTTTTTACACTTAAAAAGTGCTACTTCGAAAAAAAAATCAAGTACAACTACAAAGGCTACTTGTAAGTGCGTAACCAATGATACAGAAACTAGTAATTATACTGGTGAGACAAACTATTCAAGTGCAGCAACCAAACCGATTTGTGGGTGCGGTAACAGTAATACACAAAGTGATTCTCGAATGGTTGAGAGAAGAAGTTCAAGAGATTCGTCAAAAGCAACTTGCAAGTGCGTACCTAGTGATACATATCATAATACTCCAATAGGTGGAACAAATGGTTTAAGTGGTGGATCAAAACCCACTTGTAAGTGCGTAAAAAATGATAAAAGTAACAATCGAATCAAAACTTCATCAAATAGTTTTAATGATATTAAATTAATGTGCTGTGAAATTTTAAATCATTTGAAGAGCCAAAGAGAGTCACAATCAAATGAGCAGAAAAAAAATAAGAATAGAAGTTGTTCATGTAAGGTTTCTAATGATACTGATTCTCAGTCATCACAAGAATCTTATGTTAATGCAACCAAAAAAGCAGAGTCTTGTAAATGTAAAATGCGTAACAACTTTGATGATATTCGTACAAATAACACGAAGTCATCAGATAAATATTCTAGTCTAAATAGAATGAAACCTCAAAACAATTCCTTTTCATCAGAAGTAAGCAAAAAGTCATGTATGTGCACAGTAATGGAAAAGAAAGCAAAACCGCCTACATATAACAAGGAACTTTCTGGTTCACGAAAATTTTATTCTAGGGGTTCTTTAAGTAGTGAGGAGGAAATTGTGTCAATCACGACCAAAAACAGTTCTAACCAGAGTGACCGTGAAGATCGGTATAAAGAAAAACCTACAGGTAATGGTAATTGTAAATGTAGGCAAATGTCTAATGAGAGAATGAAAATTAAACAAACAACTGAATGTAGCTGCAAACGTACATCCACTGATTTATCTGATAGTACAGCAAAATACTCATCTGCCCAATATAAGGGGCACGTTGGACAAAGAGCGGGAACTAGTAAGGAAACTTGCAAGTGTGTGCTTAAAATGAGTGATAGAGTACCAATTCAGACAAAAGTTAAAGCTAAAGAAATAGAAACATGTAATAGGGAAACATGCAAGTACCGGAATGTGCCCACAAGTTCTACAAGCAACGATCCAGCATATGGAAAGACAGATATATTGAACGAACAAATGGACAAAAAAGTTAAACAAAATGTAAAGAGTAAAGAGAATCAATTAAGTTCCGCTAATTCCATGAAAAAAACTAAAGAACCGTTACCGCAGTTTCAAGAAAAAGATACACAAACTGATCCAGTATACAAAAAGCAGGAAGTTTTAAATGAACAAATGGTTGATAAAGTTAAACAAAAAGGAAAAAGTGAAGAGGCTCAATTAAGCTCCGCTAAGTCCATGAAAAAATCTGAAAAACAGTTTCAAGAAAGAGATTCGCAAACAGATCCAATATACAGAAAGCAAGAAGTTTTAAATGAACAAATGGATGATAAAGTTAACCAAAAAGGAAAAAGTGAAGAGGATCAATTAAGCTCCGCTAAGTCCATGAAAAAATCTGAAAAACAGTTTCAAGAAAAAGATACGCAAACAGAGCCAATATACAGAAAGCAAGAACTTTTAAATGAACAAATGGATGATAAAGTTAAACAAAAAGGAAAAAGTGAAGAGGATCAATTAAGCTCCGCTAAGTCCATGAAAAAATCTGAAAAACAGTTTCAAGAAAAAG